AACCCTATCGTGACGCCTCCTACAGGCGATAAATTCAGTTAGCCTGACTAACTTTACTACCTGCAAACAAGACATCGCCCGCATGTCCCATTATCGCTCCTACATCTGTTGTACCAAACTACTGGAATACATGGAACATGGAATCAGTTGAACGCGAAGGTATGTTCACCCGATCACAAAAACTCATTCAGTAGAAGAACGTAAACATCTCAAGCGTAATTTAAGCGATACGTAACCGCCAGGTTTGCCTCCGAAAGACGCGACACTCTTTCCTTCTTTCTTTCTCCCCACAAGTGAGCTGCTTGCAGCAAATGGTGGTGAGCGACGGCTACTGCAACGTCTGCTGCATAGATGTCAAAAATGCGGATGATCATCGTCTGCAATTCCATTCGTTGTACTGCCGCTTCAGATTCGTTGAGCATCCCGAAGTACCTGTCGTCGTTGCTCGCCGGGCCGATGGAACTTTCCAGTGCCCAGCGTGTCTTCAAACATATACGACGTACAAAAAGATGCACAACCATGGATCAAGAACGAAGGGTCCCATCCACAAGGTTTCGGTGGCCAAGTGGGTCAACGCACGGGTGAGTACATTCTAGCGGTCTGGGGTGTAGACGATCTAAACTTCAGATGCAGCCAGTTAAACGCGAGAGTGATCTCGAGGATCAAGACGAGGAAATTGAGGACGAGGACGCTGACGATATGATGGACGAAGAAGATATCATCGAAGAATCCTTGCTGGCACCTGCAGAGGAAGGCTACGACGTGGCTCCGTCGTCACCTCTAGCAAACCCGTATACACAGCTCACCCTTCCTGAATCCTCTCCTCCTGTCATCCCGGCTGCTCAACATCGTCCCAGCTGTTCGGCCATGCAGTCGAGCACTCAAGGTCCGGCTGATTGGGACATGCAGCTCTCGCATCGGCAGCCGTCGACTGCAGCCTTTTCACAGCGTGTGGCGCGTAGTTCGACCGAAGACGATAGCATCGAGGTCACTGCCCCACCTCCATCGCAATTCACGAAGGTCGATCCAAAGACTAAGCCAGCATCAGCAAGGCCCGAGACCGTTCTGAGTCAGTATTTCTTCTTACGTTCGAGACACCCAATTAACTCTTCACGCAGGTCAAGCCGACATTCAAGTCTTCGGTCCGCAGCCTGCTGATGGCAGGGGCATCTTTGCTATTCCCTTCATCCGTCCGTCTTCACGTCGGCGCTCCTGAACATGGCTGCCTGCGTCATATACAAACCCTTCGGATTACTCGTCATTGGTGTCATGCGCAAGAACCGCAAGCGCCTTGTAGCCGATTTGGACTCGGAATGTTATTTTGACAAGCAGACTGAGCACAGGGGTAACATTACACCACATATTCGTCCTCACCGCAAAATTTTGACAATTGCTACCGTAGTACGTTATGGTGAACATCGCAAAAATGATCATCCCAATGATTTTTTTCCAGCAACAGTCTCGAGGTGCGATGGAGTGTAATCAATTCTCCAGCTGAAATAACGAAGGTAACTTAGTCCATAGTGCGTAACGAACTTGCTTTAGCCTGTCTCTAATCATGCGGCGACAAATTTGACAAGTTAGGAGCTCCTCCGTTGTAGCATGCCCGCGAAGAGTCGCGAGGATATCTGGAGTACTCTGGCATTCTTCACGTATGTTGTTCATAACTTCTACTCGCTGGGATCCCCTACACCTATCCACCATCCAGTGTATCTGACCGTCGACATCGCTGGCCTCAGTCGTGAGCATGGAATCAGTGACTTGCAGAAGACCCTCCCTGCCTAAAAGGAGGCACCGCAGATCTCCTGCTGTGAGGAGACCCCAATTTGCGGTGCGGCGCCGTGGCTTGCATATAGAGGAGGCTTTGTCAGGCTGGCAACGGATAGAGAGCCGTGAAAGATGATAAAAGGCGGCAGGTAATATAGTTGGGACCTGACACTCGCGGGCCAATTGAATGGCGGACGCGGGGTCTGGAAGCGGATCCTCGGGGAGTAAGCAACGCATAGAATCGCTGTCTGGGTCGGCCAATCCGGCAATTTCACCTTCTAGTTGATCCCACCGAGCTAGCGAAGTTGGCCAATCTGCTTCCAATTGTTGAACAACCTCACGACGAAGTTCGTTTATCTCATATTTATTTGAGAGATTCAAGAGATGGTAAATTGTGCGAGGTGCGCATCGGGATAGGCGTGGGTATAATGGGGGAAAGCTAGCGGGAGAAGCCTGATAAACAATGGACCTACCACAGAAAGAGATATTCTCACCGCGGAAGGTATATGGCTTTCAATAAGGATTCGATCTCTTCAGCGTTGTCGGGCAAGCACACTAGTGGAACGTCGTCATATGTCTCGGCCTCCGGAACAGGCGGCAGCGCCAACATATCCGCAAAGACGGTGGAATAATGTGAAAGGATTGATTGGTGTACTCGAAAGACAGTTTTTTCGCCAAAATCATTCGAGGCCATAAGCGCGATGTTGCCATCAAAGAAATACAAGGAAGCGTGTCTTCGTGCCATTTGGTAGTTGAACACGTCCGGAAAACCAGGCCCCTCGGCTGTGCAAAGAGTCACGTGATTATCATCAGAGGGACAAGATACATGTGGCACAAGCTAAAACAAGGACAGACGAATGGGCACAACAAAAGTACAGGGAAAAACGTCACTGGTGTGCAGGTCAATATCAGAATATCAGAATATCTTCATGCAATTTCGCAACTAAAACACATGCGGGTTATGATGCAACGTTTAATAAAAATGGAACATGAACCCAACAGCAGAGCAAGTAAAGAACGTCCTATGGTAATCAAAAGAAAATCAAAAGAAAGAGGAGTAGGCATTCCCTGTCGCATAAGTGTAGGTTAGTAATTAGATCCACCATTGAAACATAGCGTTCTGATCGCGTTCTGGTACTATCGAGGAGTCTGTCTGTCCGTCTCGTGTCTAGATACCACCGTCCCATTTCATGCTTGTCTGAGTAGCACCCGGTCGATCGCGGCATTGATCGCGCCCTTTCGTGACGTCAAGGCCATCCCAAATCGTTCTTCGAGCTGACGCCGTATCTCGCGCTTCGTCACGAAGTTGAGGTCGGCAGTGCGGAGGATCTGATGGACGGCATAATCAAGCTCAGCATCATTAGGAACACCTGGTGCCAAGTCCATATCCTCATGGCTGCGCGTGGTCGGTAGAGGCATCTCAAGATAATTTGTTGGCGGCCGCGACGGCATGGGTTAGTACAACATGCCAGCGTCGCTCATGGACCGCAGCTGTGACATTGGTGTATTGCAACCTGATTGATACCCAGGGAGTGAGATCGTGCCAAATTGTGATGGCACGGGTGAATAGCCACGTGGCTCGTAGTAGGTCTCGCGCCCGTATAACGACGCAGTAGCTGATGCGGTATATCCCTCTTTGTGGAACTGATTGGGAGGTGCCCACGAGCCAATGGCGTAGATTGATTCCTTGTCCCAAAACTCGTTCTCCTGTAAACAAGATCAGTAGCATGTCTACAAAAGACCAAAATTACGCACATGATCATTCTAAGACTTGAGAGGAATGGCGCGCGGGTCGAACTTGTCCTAAAGAAACTTCATCAACATCGTTCCAGATAATAAGGACCAGAAGACACCTGCATGAACAACGATCTTCTTGCCAGACTCACCCAACACGACACGGGTAGCACCCCAAGAGAAGTCATCCACACGCCAGAACGAATAGAGCGGGAGCATGAGAGAGAAGATTAGGATAACCAAAATGTAGAAGAACGTCCATCCAACCATGTCCCACTTGCGCCGGAGGATAAGCGCAGGGGCTTGTAAACCATACGTGGCGTCGATCATAACGAGCGAGACGACAGGCAGAGTCTCCTGCTTGATAGCGACTTCCACAATGAGATACACGATCTACAACTTCAAATTAGAATAAATCAAAAGAAACTGGACGTACGTAGCCGACAGTGATAGGCTGGATGATAGCGCAAACCAGATCGATCATGACGGCAAACCCCATGGAAAAACAACAGAAACCACAAAGCTGCTCCAAGAACATCAGCTCTCCAAGGTTGTGGACCGTCGAGTTGATCCCGACGACGACGGTGTGAGAGTAGAATCTTCCGGTCATCAGGCGCTACGGTAAATGCATGGGCATCGCGAACGAATTGGGTCTTGTGCAGCGGAAAGTGTTTCAGGAGGAGCACGGTGAGGTATCGATCTTCTCTGAGATGCAACAAGTTCTTCGTGTGCAGGGTATCGGCGCGATTCTGCGAGTAGTCCTGGATCATTTGGTCGGATATCAAAGATGGTTTGTGGGTATCGGGAGTCCGCAAACGATATAGGGTGAAACAACCAGGCAAACAGGTAACAGATCTGAACAAACTCTCGAAAGCCTTGGCCATGTGATGCGAGATGAAGTACTCGTAGACCTAGACATCCAGTAAAACTTTCAACCGCTTCATTGCCTGCACCATGGTGATAATTGAGTACTTCGGGTTCGCTAGCTCAGTCCCACCGCAAACACCAAGTACCTTTTTATCATGAATAGACCTACAGAAAAACAGACATCAACCCAAAATCCCACAATAACGAACGACTTACGCAGAGATCAACCGGTCGACAGAATAGGGCTCCACCGTCGCATCAGCATCGACCGTAAACAGATACTCAAAGAACGTCGGGTTGACACCAATCACATTGTTGATCTGGTGGTGCATCTCCAGTTCGAGTGGGTTCATGGGCGTACTAAATTGAACCTGCGCAGCTCAAGTATGAGCGCTAAATTCATCATTCTACGAAAGACCCTCACCTTGTTCAAGAAGTGCATGATCACCATATGAGAATCACGCTTGCCACGGTTACCAGGCCGCAAACGCTCAGATGGCTTGCCTATCTTCACCACCAAGTAAGGAACGACGTGCCCAGCGCACTCATAAAGACCAGACCAGATCTTGTCTTTATGCTGCCTCGCACCCTCACCCAACGAGACGAAACTGAGTGGCTCGGGGTCGAGATTAAGGATGTCAAGCACGATGCGCGGCGTGCGACGGTCATTCCCAGAACCAACGATATTCCCATCACAGATAACGAGAATAAGTTTCCGCTTGTCGTCATATTTGAGCTGCGCCAGCGAGTCGATGGTTTTCCGCAATGAAGTCTCGCCTTCTGTATAACAAGGAATCTGAAAAATAACGAACTTGAATCCGATGATGCTGACCATCAAAATCGACAGTGCGAGCAAGATACCCTCCGCGAATTGGCACTGTGGCAAATTACGCCGGTTGTCCACCATACCGATCAAAAACAAGTTGCGGAGACAGATACATTGGCTTTACAGCGTAGCACTATCAAGATCGAGGGAATTAAATTGCTTCATCAGATCCTGCGCTGAGTTGTACTTGAAAAGGTCGACGACGGATGTGTCCATGAATTCAGTGTCGATGGCCTAGGAAGCTGCTCGCCATATAGAGCTTCGACTGCAGGTCCGTAGTTGACATAGGACGTAAGACCGTAGATCATATCGTTGTAGATGCCGAGCGGATAACCAGAGTGGGCAATGTCACTGATCTCCTGTGGTATGTAACCCACGTATCCAACGCGATTGTTCCTACTCTCAAAGTACCAATCTGGACGGGAATAATTGATGAAAGCGCGGAAGTCGTGATAAGATGCATTACGATCGGTGTCATTGGCAGAGCTGAGGGTAACGTAGGGGCTGACGGAGCCAGTCACGCCATTACACGATGCAGACACCTGAAATTTGGTTAGAAAGAATCAACTCGTGAACGAATCCTTCTGACCTGAACAGGGAAGATCGCATCTGATGCAGTACCGCCATACGTCTGGAGGATCGTCTTGACAGGCACAACACTAACAACGCGCTGATGCATGGACGCAACAGTCGTAAGATCAAACACCTCCCCCCGAATCGAGGTATAAACATTATTTAGCGAAGCCGTGCGTGTATAAATGTGATGCCAATTCGGAAGTGCTGAAAACATGCTCCGTTAGGCAAATGATCTCACCCAGCAAGACAATGACGAAAACAGCGCATGAGCAGAAGAACCAGATTATGAAATTGATTGCGAGCTTTTCTCTCCATGCTTGTCGGATATCTTCACGCTTAAGTTCATTCAGCCGGTCCATTTAAGGAGAAGAGAGGGCACCCACCCACTGTGTCAGAGCCCAGCACACCGCGACCCAGCGACGGCGCGCAGAAGATTCCTAGAGCACTTCAGTCGTCTCGCCATCTCCGATCTTACCAGACAGTGCTTCTTTCGCCATGAGACCCGGTTCCTTGTGAGGCGGCTGCGGTTGTCAAAGTCGTCGCTGCGGAAAGACTTGCGCTCGTCGTACTCGTCGTCATGCACATCAGCTCGCTGGAAGGGGGACGCATTAGAGACGAGAGGAAGAGCAGGGTCCGAGAAGGCGCTGACGAAAGGCGAGTCCGCCACTTAACTGAATTTTTCAAGGAGATATCTAAAACAAAGACGAGACCCCCTTCACTTTGAACTCCGCGAAGGCAAGTGGCAAAGCGTACAACAACTGGCACACTCGATGTCGCAGGAGTGAAACCAGGAAGAATACCACTCCCTCCAGGTTTCTTGGCCTGTGATTTTTTCCAGGCATGAGCCATCTGCAAGAACTTGAAAGATCTTGGATTGGCTTCTCGTTCGTCGTCGGCGAATACAAGTTCCCAATCTGCGCAAGAACAATCAGGAAGCTGTGCTATTATATACGGGGTAGATCGCTGACCTTCTACTACTTGATCTGTCTCTCTGTCGACGTGTTGCTTCCTGCCGATGATAGGCATCATGCCTTCCACCTTAGCTAAATCGCTCTCGCTGCCATGTTCTTGTTCGAACGCTTTCCATGACTCGAGTAAAGCAGCCCTCTGTGATGAAAGTTCAGCTCCGACTCGATTATGAAACTGCTGCTCATACCTCGGCTTTTAGGCCCTTGACTTTCAAGTCTTTGTAACCACGTTCAAAGACTTGTCGTGATAGTTCGGGATCACCAGCGACAACCCGAGGTTCGGCATCCTCATCTTCCTCATCTTCTCGCATAGCTCTCGGCAAGGGAATACTTGATCCCTCGAACTCGGCATAGGATATCCACACCTTATAGTGTCCGCTGAGAACCACCAGGCGCTCGTAAAGTGACCTAGTCTTCTCTCGATCACCCTGCTAGTCGACTTCGAAGTCGATATATGCCTTCCAAAGGATTTCGGGCATCGATAGTGATGCTTGAGACACTCCGAGTTCAAGCGCCTCTGCACGGGTGAAGTCCTCAAGAGCCGTCTCGAGTTCAGCGTATTTGATCCACGCCGCTGAGTTGGTAGGATCGTACTGCAGAAGATGTTTCATCACTGGCGAGGAAAGAAAGAGACCTTCGCGACATACCTCAAGATGCTTTTCGTATAATGTCCGCACGCGGTCAAATTCTCGCAGCTAAACATGACATTAGTATATCGTAAAGCCAAGAAAGTGAAGATCATACATCCATCTCGAGTTGAATATAACCCTTGAACACAGATGCACATTCATATGTTGATAATTAGTGAGGAATTTGAGTGTTTCGAATTCATTTTGAGCAACATAAGATGGTGTTTGAACTTCTGTACCCTGGAATTTGTGACAGTGTCATGTCACATGACTCACATAAGCTGTGTCAATTTCACCTGGCTCAGTAGTAGCATAGGGAGGTCGAGAGTGGCTCTCTTCATTGAGTGAGTGTTGGATGAAATGCAAGGGATACGGACATGGTCAACAACTTGAAGGACTCAGATGAGTAACTTGGAAGAGCATTCACAGTCACCAGTGCATAGTGTTGGCCGCGGCTCAGGTTTCGAGCCTGGCTGCAGCCGAAATTAAAATGTGGCTGTCCAAGCCATTACAAATGCACAGCTTACATACTCAAGGGCTCGGCTCGGCCAATTGAGCCATGGCTGGCAGGTCAAGCCAGCTGGCAGCTGTTCTATTTATAAAAATAATCAATAGATTTGTTGGGGACAGTCCACCGCGAAGCTCTCAAATATGCATCCTGGCACCCAGTCACAGTATGTTTAAGAACGAGGACTGGCCATTGGTTTTTTCATATAATGTCCGCACACGGTCAAATTCTCGCAGCTAAACATGACATTAGTATATCGTAAAGCCAAGAAAGTGAAGATCATACAATCATCTCGAGTTGAACATAACCCTTGACTAAAGACTCCTTCGGGCACATGCCAATGGCGGTCCCAAGCATTTTGCGCGCTGCCGTTGAATTTGACTGTCTGATCTCAAACTTCGCAGCCATAATTCACAGTTTTGTGAAAGTAAACTGCTTGTGCGGTACAAGATTCAAAATGGTACGGTATACTTGGTGTGCACGGTCATAGTCCTGTGGAATAATGTCAGAGTAGACAAGTGGTGTGTATGGAAATGAAATGACCTTGGTTTAGATCTCCTCGAACAAAGCATACTCAAGCCAAAGGAAGATATACCGTCTCCAATGACATTTTTCTTGTCCAGGAGGTACATGTGCAACAGCACGCTCGTAAATGTCTCGCACGCGCTCAGTGGTTGCATCCTGCTCTTCCTTGGTGCCACCTTCTTCCAGCCAAACGTAGTCGAACCAGACATCATAATTTCGCCCGTCCTGCAAAACCTCGGCTTCGTATTGGATTCTTCACTTTCCAAGTACCGTAGATTCTACAATGGACCGCGTGCCGTGTTGCTTCTCGAATTTGGTATAAGCTGCGTATGAATTCGCTGATTTTGATCGCGGAAGACGTGATGGTGTGAACTATTATCTAGACTGTGAAGCAGGCCTAGTAAAGTATACGCGTAACCACGTACCTTGTATATCACTTGAGCACACTTGTACTCACTCTTCTAACTGAGTTTTCATTTTAGCCAAAGCATTGAAAACTGCTTGAGCCTTTTCTACCTGCTCTTCCTCGTCCCCAAAAAAACTGGAGAGCGGTTTGGAATACCTCTATTGCTTTGTCCAACTTCCCCTGCTCTTCTTCAAACTTTGCCCACTTCACCCATACCCTCGGATCTGGCCTGACAGCTATCCATCGCTCATATATAACACTGGCCGTGTCTGATTCGTCATACCGTTCCTCCATCTTTATGTATGCTTGCCAAGCTTTGTCGTCCAGTTCCCACTGCATCCACTGCTTAAAGACTTGTCGGGCACCGGGGACATTTTGCAGAAGCTCCTCCAAGTAAACGTACTTGTACCAGAGCTGGTCCACTCGAGGCAATAGAGTCATGGCGCGGTCGAATAGATTGCGTGCATGTTGGAAATTTCGGGACTTGAGCTCCATTTCAGTATAACTGAGCCATAGTTGAACACTTCGAGGGTCCACGTCCAAAGCGCGTTCAAAGATAGAGTGAGATCGGTCAAATTCATTTTGGCTAGCCTGATAGGAATGCGTATCAGACCGCAATATCAACCAAGGATTGTGAGCAACGTACATCCCAGTTTGCATACTGAGTGCATTCTTTGCTGATACAATATTCAGTGAGAGTATCACCAATGTTTAATGCGATACTCACATGCTACCTCTTGTCCTTCTGACTTGCTCTTCAAACCCCTTGAGTTTGCAGCCGCGGTACTCGTGGAGTTTTTCAAAATCCTCAACGTGTTGTTTGGAACCATGGAAGGTGGATTCTTGATGCTCTTGAGCCTAAAGAGCACAAAATTACGAGTACTGCAAGGTGGAGAACTTGAACAATGCACCTCTCGCAGAAGCTGCTCTGCGGTGATCTATGAATGCAATTATGGAGGGTCAACAAATGCAGACACATATGTCAACGAAACAAACCTGGATAGCGGCAGGCACCCGATTCCTAATCTTAGAAATCGTAACCAGTCAGTTTCTGCATGATACAAAAAGCTGATAAGGCAAACCTTGGTGCTCTGCCGTCCTGCATAATTACGACAAACCTATGTATTTCCTGAGCAAAGAATAGTATTATTAGCACCAGGCGAGCATAAGGGTCGCTGAAGCCACAAATATCAAGCCCAGCCTCAGTCTCAGCATCAGCATCATGAACACGGTTGCGCTTCTGTTCCTTAACATCCGATGTACGAATGCGGTCCTTGAGTGAGTGGAACACCGTTTGTGATAGGAAGGCCTACGATGATATTTAGCACGACAATGATGTTCAGCACGTGCCTGAGCTGTGTATTCAATTCGCTTACCATATTTTGCTCAAGGCAAGCTCAAGGACAACATCCCGCTCCTTCAACAACAACGCAATCCGTGTCTGCTCAACACGCTCCCTCGGAGTTCCTCCGAAATACCTAAAGCCGAAATTAGATCCCTGTACCTCTGACAAAATTCCTCTGGCGTCATCCCCACCTCAAACACATTCAAAGTTGCACTTCGCGATCTATACATGCTATGGCTATATATTATATATAACATCGCACATTTTTTGGTTATTCTGACTATCTCATATCATGGAACACGCCACTGGGATGCTATTGCACCAACTTTTAAGGAAATTGGTGGTCAGGAACATGAGTTATGATCATTTTACTGCCGACCATGTCTTGCTACCAAATATCTATATTGGGATGTCATAGCCCTATTGGGACAGGCTAGAATCTTATCAGGATGGCTCTATATGTATCATAGTCATATAACTACATGATCTTGAACCAATTTTGCAATATCTTTGGCCAACATGAGTGGATGTAGGGGGAGGAGAAGACATACAGCATCACAAAAAATTATTGGCAATCCAAAACTAACTCTATCATCTTCTGTGACCTTTAAAATGGTGGGGAGAAAGTTATTTGGGTATTTGCTGATGTTTGTGACCTTGGGTGTCAGACCACCTTCTGACCTCCAGATGCACCAAGCCCACCACCTCATAAAAAATTCCTGGTGTCTCAAGACTTGGCCCATTCTCTTCTGTGGCCTTTAAAAAGGTAGGGAGAAACTTGTTTGGATCTTTGCTGATGTTTGTGACCTCTGGTGTCCGACCACTCCAAACCTACAGGTGCATCAAGCCCACCACCTCCCAAAAAATTCCTGTCCTTTTAAAACTTGGTCCATCATCTTTTGTGACCTTTAAAATAGCGAGGATAAACTTGCTTTCAAATTTTCTTCAGTGTAGGACCTCCAGGGCCAGACCACCCCCTGACCTCCAGATGCATCAAGCCCACTGTCTCACAAAAAATTCCCGACCTTTCGAAACTTTGTCCATCATCTTCTGTGGCCCTCAAAATGGTGTGGAGAAAGTTGTTTTGGTATTCACTGATGTTTGTGACCTCTGGTGTCAGACCACCTCCGACCCCCAGGTGAACCAAGCTTACCATCTCATAAAAAATTCCTGGTGTCTCAAAACTTGGTCCATCATCTTCCATGCCCTTTAAAATGGCTGTGAAAAACTTGTTTTGCTATTTGCTATAGCATAGGACCTCTGGTGTCAGACCACCCCTGACCCCCAGGTGAACCAAGCTCACCACCTTACAAAAATTCCTAGCCTTTTGAAACTTAATTTTTCTGCCTCAGTGGCCTTGAAAATGATGAGGAGAAACTTGTTTGAGTGTTTGCATCAGCATAGGACCTCCATCCAGACCACTTCCTGACCTCGAGGTGTACTGCCTCACAAAAAATTCCTGGTCTTTCAAAACTTGGTCCATCATCTTCAGCAAACTTTAAAATGATAGGAAGAAACTTGTTTTGCTATTTGCTGCAGCATAGGACCTCCAGTGCCAGACCACCCCCCGACCTCTAGGTGTACCAAGCTTACCACCTCACAAAATTTCCTAGCCTTTTGAAACTTGGTTTTGCTGCTTCAGTGGCCTTGAAAATGATGAGAAGAAACTTGTTGAAGTGTTTGCCTCAGCATGAGATCTTGGGTGTAAAGTCATTCCTTCATCACCAGATGCACCAAGCTTAACACCTTACAAAAAATTCCTGCTCTTTTAAAACTTGGTCCATCATTTTCTGTGGCCTTTAAAATAGTGGGGAGAAACTTGCTTTTATGTTTCTTCAGTGTAGGGACATCCAGTGCCAGACCACCCCTGACCTCCAGGTGTACTGAGCTGATCATCTCACAAAAAATTCCTGGCCTTTCAAAACTTGGTCCATCATCTTTATTGATCTTTCAAATGGTGGGTAGAAAGTTGTTTGGGTGTTTTCCACAGCATGGGACCTCCAGTCCAAACCACCCCCCAACCTCCAGATGTACCGCCTTGCAAAAAATTCCTAGTCTTTCAAAACTTGGTCCATCATCTTCAAAAACCTTTGAAATATTGGGGGGAAACTTGCTTTCATGTTTCCTTCAGTGTAGGACGTCTAGTGCTGGACAGCCCCTGACCTCCAGATGTACTAAGCCGATCACCTCACAAAAAATTCCTGGCATTTTGAAACTTGGTTTATCATGTTCAGTGGCCTTGAAAATAATGAGAAGAAACTTGTTTGAGTGTTTGCATCAGCACGGGACCTCAAGTTCAGACCACCCCCTGACATTCGGGTGTCTTAAGCTTATCATCTCATAAAAAATTCCTAGCCTTTTGAAACTTGGTCCATCGTCTTTAAAAACCTATAAAATAGTGGGTAGAAACTTGTTTAGGCTTTGTCCACAGCATGGAACCTCCAGTGTCAGACCACCCCCTGATCTCCATGTGTACCAAGCTTGCCACCTCATAAAAAAATTCCTGGTCCTTCTAAACTTGGTCCATTATCTTCACTGACCTTTAAAATTGATGGATCTCTGGTGTCAAATCATCCTCAGACATTTAGGTAGATCAGGCTTATGATCTCACAAAAAACTCCTGGTCTCTCACAACTTGGTCCATCATCTTCTGGAGCCTTTAAAATGGTAGGGAGAAAGCTGTATGGATGTTTCTACAGTGTAGGACCTCTGGCATCAGAGCACCCCCTGATCTCCGGGTGTACCAAGCTCACTGCCTCACAAAAAATCCCTGGCCTTTCAAAACTTGGTCCATCATCATTAGAAACCTTCAAAATGGTGCAAAGTTTGCTGATGTTTGTGACCCCGGGTGTCAGATCACTCCTGACCTCCAAGTGCACCAAGCTTGCTGTCTCATAAAAACTTCATGGTGTCTCAAAAATTGGACCATCGCCTTTTAATACCCTTGAAAATGGTGAGGAAAAACTTGTTTGGATGTTTGCTACGGCGTAGGACTTCTGGTGTCAGATCTCCCCCTGACCACTAGGTATACCAAGCTTATCACTGTATAAAAAATTCCTGTCATTCAAAATTTATCTGTCATCTTCATTGACCTTGAAAATATTGGGAAGAAATTCCATTTTGTCTCTGCTGATGTTCAGAATCTCTGATGTCATGTCATCTCCTGAACCCTAGATGTACCAAGCTCAACACCTTGGGAAAATCTTTTGAGATCTCAAACCTTAGTGCATCATCTTCGGTGACCTTTCAAATGGTAGGCAGAAACATGTTTTGCAGTTTGCTACAGCATGGAACCTCTGATACCAAACCAGCTCCTGACCACCATGTATACCAAGCTCATCACATCACAAAATATTTCTGATGTCTCAACACTTGGTCCATCATCTTCTGTGACCTTGAAAATAGCAGAAAGACACTTGCTTGGCTGTTTGCTCCAGTTTGAGATCTTTAGTATCAGACTATCCCCTGACACCCAGGTGTGCCAAGCTCATCACCTCACAAAAAATTCTTGGTCCTTCCAAACTTGGTCCATCATCTTCTGTAGCCTTTCAAATGGTAATGAAGAACTTGTTTAGATGTTTTATACAGTATAGGACCTCTGGTGTCAGACCACCACCCAATCTCCGGGTGCACCAAGCTTGTTGACTCACAAACAATATCTAGTGTCTCAAAACTTAGTCCATCATCATCAGTGACCTCGAAAATGCTGGGGAGAAACTTGTTTGGCTGTGTCCTACAGTGTATGATCTCTTGTGTCAGATCATCCTCTCAACTTTATCATCTGCTCTCTTGCAGGGACAGCAGTATACAACCATCCCTCCATCTCTGGTCCTCTATTTTTTTATCTTGTTCCACCAGTTGCTATCGGAGTAATATGGTTGTGATGTGTGGAGGCAAAAATTCAGTTTGTATGATTGTCATTCATGTGCTGCAAATCATTTATTTCTGATGCTATATCCACTTTCCAATTTCTGTCTCCACTTAAGATGAAATTTCAGGTGCACCAAGCTCACCACCTCATAAGAAATCCCTGGTCTTTTGAAACTAGGTCCACCCTCTTCAGTGACCTTGCAAATAATGGGGAGAAGCTTTTTTGGAAGTTTGCTCCAGATTGTCCCCTCATGCCTAGGTTAACCAAGCTCAACATCTCACAAAACTTCCTGATGTCTCAAAATTGTCATCTTGAGAATGGTGGGGAACAACTTGTTTGGGTGTTTTCTCTGGCACATAACCTCTGGTGTCAGACTGTCCTTCGACCAGCTAGTCACCTTACAAAAATTTCCTGGTGTCTCAAAGCTTGCTCCATCATCTTCAGTGACCTTTAAAATGGTGGGAAGAACCTTGCTTGGGAATGCATCCAGCTTGTTGCCTCATAGGCTCTTTGGTCCCCCATGTTTTGTGACCTTAAAAATGAATGATTTGGTATATTCCATGCCCAGGTGCTTTGAGGATTCCACAGTTCCATCATCCTGACACTTGATTTATTGTGTTCAGAAAAATCAAACTTTGATTAGGCTACTGCATCCAACAATATTGCCGATCTAATTACTTATTCTGGACAAGATCTGATGCAAATCCCATGTGCATTTTTGGTCACATCCACCATAAGCTTGTCCATCTTAGATATAATCTTTACCTTCAGAGATGCATCGTATCTTCAAGATGCCTGATATAATTTTTATGATCTTGCAGATGGTCTATACTGCAATTTCCACAGAAAATTCCGGTAGACTTGGTGCTTTTGCTGGACTAGCCACAAC